AAACTTTTCAAATTTCCTTAAAATTTTGTTTATTTTTATTAATTTAGTAAGTTAAAGTCACAAGGTCATAGCTTGTCCTGGCATTCTTGAGATTGTTATTTAATGGATTAACAAAAAAATCAGCACAGGTAACTCCATCTGTATAGTTGTCACTGATAAATCTCTGTAGCATATGTTGACCTTCCTACTAGGTAGAAAGCAAGAAGTGTACCCTAAGAACTATGCAGATAAGAGGTTCCAGGGAGTGTGTGTTAGGTAAAGAAATGAAAGCTTTCATGGAACAGTCCTAGTCTCTGAGCCCTGACCCATTTGAGTGACTGCTTTATATGCTCTTTACCTGCACAAATCTCATATTCAAAAAGGCCAGTCCCTTAGTGATTTGTCTTTTCTAAAATTATTGAAAACTGCTCTCCTGAAGACAAATATTCTATTTTGAGAAGATTGCTATCTTTTGTGCAATTTAAAATAGAAAAATGAGTTGAGGAAACCATGCCTGGAAAGTATCAGAGTGATTATTTAAACACTCATCTCACAGATAAGGAAGAAGAATCAAGTCCTGAATTTGGATGGACACCATTTCTACCAACTACCTGTATGATTGATTTCATTAATCATGCCTTTTTCTGTGGCTTGGAAGAGCTTAACAAATAGTACAATGTACTCACAAATATGTACTGAGATCCTTCTGTTCACCTGTCACTGCTGGACTCTGTGGATCCAGCAATGGAAAAAGGAGACTAAATCCTGCACTAATATGGATAGTGAACAAAAATAATGGGGGACCATGGGGTGGTGTGAAAGGAAAAATCCAAAATCCATAGGCAATCTCATTTGAGTTGGTCTGTCTGTGAAAATTATGTTCCTGGCTTTTCCGCATAGAATGAACATATTTCTATCTTGTGTCTATCTAACCCAGTCTGCATTTCAAATGAGAACAAGCCAGAATTATTGATTTTCCTTAGAAACTGTATGATCCAAGTCACATATCTTTCCACACATGACTTCTCGTCTGAGAACTGAGGAAACTGAACTGAACACTGTCTCAACTGAAACTCTGCAATCTTCTGGCTTTTCCTTCCTTTTAGATCACAGGATCCGGAACTGATAAGACCATTAATCATTGGGCAGGAATAAACAGCGCTGTTAAACTTATGCACTTTTTGATCCTTCCAGATAATTTTTAGCCAGTTCTTAGGAAAGGAACCCTTGCCGAGGCTTCCTTCCTTCTTTCCTTCCTTCCTTTCTTTCTTTTGTGATACTGTATTTGCCATATCAAGGATAAAATACATAATTTTAGGACTCTAGAATCAGAGTATTAAAAAGAAGAAGTAAAACAATTCTGAATGAAATTTTGTAGATAGAGAGGGATGGAGGGAGAGGCAGAGAGAGAGAGAGAAAGAGAGAGAGGGAGGGGGAGGGAGGGAGGGAGGAGAGAGAAAGAATAAGTCTTTAAAAGAAATGTAAAGGGAAAATTCCTTAAAATAGCTTAATATGTCAAATAGCATACTGGAGACACTAAATAAAATAAGTTTTCCTACAGTGCCGAGCTGTGCATTCGTTTCAGGTGGTATTTGTGTTAAATGCCACGAAGTGCCAATCACTTTCCATTTATAGAAAAGAGACAGTATGAACCGTCGTGTTCACCTGCACTGTTCGCTGTGGATTAGACCTTGATGGTGAGGCAGCCCTGGCAGTCCTGCGGGCAGTTTTCTGTACAAACAACAGAGGCCAAACTGGCTACCACTCAGGAATACATAATGGGTCATGTAGTTGGCAAGAGGTTAATAGACTCTTTCTACAAGAGGGAAGTAGTCACCCATGGAACGGTCTTGTGTCTCTCTCCTTCTACATTATTCTTCCCTATGCTCTAAAGTTAAATGCAAAATTGTCTTCCTCTACTGAGTCTCATCTGACTACTGTGGATCATAAAGGTCTTTGCTTTGTCACAACTAAAAGCTCAGCTATGATCTGACTCCTTTGTCAGTCATGTTCTAGCTGATAAAATATTATGTGGAATTTTCTTGCCTCCTTACTTAACTTTTAAGTATATGCATGCCTAGATTAGAAATTATGTTTTTAGTTTTCATTTTAGTCCTAATACAGTGTATTGAAAGTATTTTACTGGATTTGCTAACAATTTAGCTTTTCTTGAAATTGCAACATGCACAAAATTGCCAAATAATGCAGTAAAACTTTAACCACTTGGTTCTGTTGTTTTAATTTTCCAGGAAACCACAGTATACCCTAACTTTGTTGCCTCTTTAGGTATCCAATAGCTTCCATTTTATCCCCCATCATGACTGCTTATGCCTAGAAAAGAAATTTAGCTTTAGTTGCCACTGAATAAATTTAAGCTTTTTCTTTTCCTAAGAGAATTATAAGTTTGACCCAACTTTACTAATGACATGAAAGATGTCATCTTCAAGAACAATTTTAATGAGCAAGTTTTGAGGGAAAAGAGAAGAAGGTAGACTGATGGCAATGACAGCCCCCAGTGAGGGGAGCAGCATACTCCTTTGTCAACAGTTTCACCAGCAACCTATTTGCCCCAAAGGCTGGGAGCAGCAACAACTTCAACAACAGTAAGGTCCCAGTAAGACATTTCTATAAAAAATCATCTGAACTTCGAAGTAGTCACCTGTAGGTAGTTGTTGTTGTTCTTCTTATTATTATTATCGTTATTATTACACCCAGGACCTTTGCCGTGAGATACACACTCAGGCTGTTTTAGTTTCTATTTTGAGGCACGGTCTCACCAAGTTCCTAACTTGCCCAGACTGGACTTGAACATATGATCCTCTTGCCTCAGCCTCCAAAAGTGCTGGGATAACAGACATATACCACCATACCCGGGTTCATCTCATGCAGACATTTTCCCAGAAGAAGTCCTTGTCAATAGCAAGTACATCTGTACTCTCACTGAGAAAGGCTGCTTGTTGCTGGTTGCTATGCATTTTTTCCTGCACATGGATCATGCTTTGTACAGATATTTTTTTAAAATGAACATTATAGTCAACAAAAATCCACCCTGAGGGTCCCTCTCAGAGTACAAAGCAAATTATAGAGGAGGAATATTTTAGGGCAAAAATATGTGTTGGCCGCTTTCAAAACAGCCTACCACACAAAACATTCATAATGAAGGAAACACAGATTCATAATTAATTTAGTAGGGTTTAGCAGCAGTAGTATAGTTCAAATTTAAGAAGTTTGTAATGTAAAAAATTTCAAATGTTTCACATGATTTAATAATTCTAAGTTATTTGATAAGTTCCCCATTATCTTCTTCACCAATTTTTACTCAAAGACATAACAACTTTTCAGCTTTAACTACTCCTAATGTTAGAAGCTAGTTTGGTTTAAATTTATGCATATGCTTATTACTACATTGTTTTCTTACATGTAGAAAATTATTACAATTATCTAGCATTTTCAGATTTGTCCATAAAATGTGCTGTTGTTGAAAATTAATTTAATCACTGCAGAACTCTTCATGAATAATTACTTTCTGAACCTTCATGGGTGGGTTTTCTTTTTTCACGTAACAATGAGAATGACATTTTCCACTCGAGCAAAATCTTCAGAGGGCTTCTTCTGCACAGAATATGACAAACTCATTCCTATAGCCTATGAATCAGAAAGTGCTATTTTCCTAAAGTCAGTGCTAGAATCTTCACACATTCATTGGATAGTGTTGTCATCAGGCGTCTGCCCTGGTGCTGTAGACATGGCCAGGAGGTATACAGGCACAAGCTTGTGGCTCTTCCTCATCCATAGTCATGGTAACAACAAAACTCTACTCAGCCATAAAAAATTAGAAATTAGAGTCATTCATAGGAAAATGGATACATATTGAGGGTATACTCTTAAGTGAAATAAATAAGTCACACATGTGTAAATACCAAATAGTTTCTCTGGTGTGAAAATCTATAATAGTACACAAGATCCTAATGGGATAATTAACAATGTGAAATAGGAAGAAAAGGGCTAAAGGTGTAGGGCAAGTGGGAAGGGTAGGGGAAAGGTAATAAGGGGAAAGGAAAAATATGAGGATATGAAAAAGTGGAAATAAAGTATTTGTAAATAGGGAAGGGAGGAGGGGGTGAAGGGAGGGCAGGGGTAAGGGGAAAAATGAGAACCAAGACCTGTCATGTAAAGGTACAAGATCCCAGTCATGAATGTAACTGTATTGTATACCTAAAATGTACCAATAAACTCAATTAAAACTAAAAAGCTATATCAAAACTAGTGACGCTGAGGTGAGAGAGTTCTGAGCAGTGGCAGAAATGGCCAGTAGTCTTGTTCTTCCCTACAGGAAAATATTAGCAGAATTATGTAACTTGCCTTTTAATAGCTGTTACTTTTCTCAAGGCCTGGAAAATATACTACTCTGCAGCCAAATACAGATTTACTTGGAGAACAGAAGATTTAATGGTTGAAAGCAGAAGATTTCTGAGCATTGCTTTTGAAGTGACTTAAAAACAGACTTCAATGTGCTCATACCAGTTGTTCAATTTTTTAAATTAAAAAGTAAATATTCCATACCTTCATAATAAAAAGCTCCTTTTGCACGATTGTGTGCCAGATATACCCCCAGGCTTTTCTTCCATTTCCACATATAATTGTGTCTCTCTCTAGAATTCCTCCATCACTTTTCACAGAATTTCTGTTTCTACGATGCTTTCCTCTTCCTGGTACCATTGACCTGGTCCCAAAGGTCATTGACTTTAAAAATGAGCATCTATTACTTTTTACTCTAAGTTCTACTAGTGCTGTGTTCATGGCTATTTTAAATATTTTTTATATCAAGTGACATCATTCAGGATTTTTAATCAATAAAATAATAGATGTGTCCTCAACCCTGAAACTGCTGTGATCAAGTTTATTCGGAACTTGGCAACATAGAGGTATTCGATGTTTAACCTTGGAAATGAGATAAGGGGGAGGAGGCAGAGGAAAAACAACCTTAACCAAAACGTATTTCTTCTTCCTTTCCTGTACAGGCCCACCAAGACCTTCACCATGACCGATGGGGACTATGATTATCTGATTAAACTCCTGGCCCTTGGAGATTCAGGGGTGGGGAAGACAACATTTCTTTACAGATACACAGATAATAAATTCAATCCCAAATTCATCACTACAGTAGGAATAGATTTTCGGGAAAAACGTGTGGTGAGTTTTTAACCATGTTGTTAACCTTATTTCACACTCCCTTGCATAAAATAAGATGGAAGAATCTATGTTTATTATATTTCTTTATTGCATGAAACTCATAATTAGGTTATGAGTAACCTAATTTTAGAATATTACCTAGTAATTTTTGATAACAAATAATATTCTGCTAGCAAAATAGTGACACTGTGGCTTGTCTTCAAATAGGTACAAAGTAATTAAAATAATTTTTTAGATTTCTATATTGTTTTTTATGAATTCTTAAGAAGCTTTAAAAATTAGAGTTATTCAGGATATAGAAATATTAACTGTTTGATCTGAGTTAAATTCCTGCATAAGGCCAAGTATTTGTTTCCTTATTCTTAACAAAGAGGTTAAAAGTATGACTGGCAAATAGCTGGAACAAGAGCTTTGTAAGTTCTTGCCACATTTTTATTTATGTGTAGCCTCAGCCATCAATCACGGGCTTATTATGAACAGAATGTGAGACCAATCCATGCTATTTTCCAAGATAAGGGAGTTTAAGTGAGAATCACAACCACTTCCTTCTCCTATGCTAGACGCTAATGACAGGAATAAGGATATTGTGACATGTGAGACGTGTAGCATAGGCACATTAGCTTTGCCAGATTGCCTGCCACCCAAGGTATTCTTGACTGCCAAGATGGCTGTGGGTTCCAGTTGATGTCACATCAACTCATTCCTTGAGAATATGAAAAGAAAAGAAAGGAAATAAAAAGGACATTGCCTGGGAACCTGAACCATATCCTGTACTTTATCTGAAAGTCTATACAGTGTAGTTTTAGCACACTTGCTTTCAAAACTTCTAGGGCTGTCCTGAATTAGCCCTTCCCCAGTATCTTTCTGATTTGGGTATAACTCCTGGCAAAATTTTCCATTTAGAACATATTCATTAAACCACTGAAATTGTCTTAATAGGCCCTTTTAAGAAATGACTAGTAAAGGAAGTCTTCAAATATCCTATATCATTTTACTAAGAAATTCTATGTATATTTCATGATTAAGACATTTTGAAAGTCTATTTCATACTAAAGGACATTAAGGTGTTTGTAAAGCACTTTATTTTTTTTTAATGCTTTCCTATCTCTTATTTCATTAAAGCTTGTAGTAACTGCAAAATAGGAAGGGATTATGGGTCTCAATTTGCAGACAAGAAAATTAGAAAATAGTAAAATAAAGAGCTGGTATTTGAACTTGTGTCCTAATTCTGATGTTTGTCGCCCCTGTGAGGAAATAGCAGACAGTGTCTAATTTAAGTTTGCAGAATGCCTAAATTGTGTTGAAAATCATACTTATACTTGACATTTAAAAGTGAGATCTGTGTGATACTTCTGGGGAAAATAGATAAAATATTTATTCTGCACTCTGAACTTTGATTATCATAATCAAGGAAAAACATGCTGAGTAAACCCAGAGAATCAGAATGGTGACAAAATCCACAGCAAGAATAACTGAAGAGAATTGTGTTTTTCAGGTTTATAACACGCAAGGACCAAATGGATCTTCAGGGAAAGCATTTAAAGTGCATCTGCAGCTCTGGGACACAGCAGGCCAAGAGCGGTAATAGAGAATTACTTTGACAACTTAAAAAAGCTTATTTAAAATGAGTACTGCATATGAACTTGAAAAACAAACGATATGTATGCAAATCTCCCCCTGGTTCCAAAATAGACTTTTGGATGAGAAATATAAGTTATTGATTTCTAAATAATTAGCCATTACTAGCATTGCATAGTGCAGATTATAGAAATCAGATTCAAGTAAATATGTTTTTGTATTCCGTGGAAGGAAGAAATCTTTTCAGATTTATTTAAAATGAAGATGGGAAATAAACATTGTTACAAATGCTGCTGAAAGAGGGAATTGATGACTTTTCTAATCTCTTCCTGTTCTTCCATACTGCCTCTTTGTTCCGTACTCTGTGACTGGCTTTACTTGCCCAAAATAAATTTTTTTTGGGGGGTACCAGGGATCTGACTTTGGTCCTTGTGCTTGTTAGGCGGGCAGCAGAACCACTGAGCTAACTTGCTCAAATTTTGAGCACATGATTGCCCTGCATTTAAAATCTAAGTTCCTTCCCACCTTCTCTGATCCTCTCCTGTCCCCAGGCCTGACTCCAACTCTACCTCCTCTGTGAATCCTGTCTATAGAATCTTTCTTCTGAATACCTGTGACACCTATTCTACCACCCTTAAGCCTCTAAATTAATTGAGTAGAATCTTCTATTTCTATCTTTAATGGCTTTTCATTGATTTACTTGTGATCTTTTCCACCCAACACAATTGTGAGCTTTAGGAGCACAGAGACCTTGCCTGCTATTTCAGCATAATTTCTGGTAGAGTGCCCAAGAAATAGATACTCAGTACACAAAAATATTTGAGGCTTACAGCTGGAGGTATTATTCCATTACTCAATACAAACATATTTCTCTGAGATCCAAAGTTTCAAAGGACTAAAGACTCAAAACTAAACACATTTCTCAGTCTTAGATTAAGTTTTTAAAAATGGCAACAGTTTGGCAGCAAATATATTTATAAGGCATGTATCTCTGAATTTTACATAGTATGTCTTAGAATGCTGATGCTTGTAAACACTTCCGTTATTGAAATGCATCCAACATGTTCTCGCTTTCAGTGAGTGTAAATACCAGGAGAGGTGCTGGGCCCTCTCTGTTAGCTTCTCTGACTGTGAATCCCATTTACACACACCCTTCAACACTGCTGGTTCCTCTGAAGTCACTCCTCACAAGAGTCTCTATTCATGTGTCAGTTTTGTTGTCACGAAGATGTATGTTTTATAGACCGATTTAATTCATTTTTTAAGAAGTAACAGGAGAAAATGTGCTGCCCATATGTCCTATCACATGATATGTCAGCCTAGCATGATGGCAGGCTTCTCTCATCTGTCCCCTTAAGACAGCTGTGCTATGAGGGGCAGCCTTAATAACACTGGGGCTATTCATCCCTTGAGAGTTTCTCATTCCGTATGTACAAAGTGTAGCTAAGCCACCAGATAAACAATGCCTTGCACATCATCCCTATGCCTCAGGACAACTGGAAATAAAATTCCTGAAAGGTAATAATTATGGATAAAAGTCATACCATAGGAAAAAAGGAAATAAATAATATATAATACTTATGTAAATTTAACAGGATACAGTGCACAGCCTTAATACCCAGTGAGAGAGAAAGTACACTAAGGTATCCGACTCTGGACTCTGTTTCTTTATGTGGTTCTAGCTTTCCTCACCCTGCTGACTCACTGGACAGAATAAGATTGAAGGGAGGTTATGTGAAAATCAATTATCTTTCTTCTTTGAAGGAATGAGCAATAAGAAAGATACCAGGCAAAAAAAGTTGAAGTTATAAGCCTGCTCCAGGGCAACAATGTCCGATACATGTTACCCATGAAAATCTGTTTGATCCAATCAGGTCACATGACAAGTGAATTTTTGAGTGACTTTGTTACCTGCTGTGGAGATTGAGAGGGGAATAACATATAGTCTTATTCTGAACACACACACAGACACAGAACAAAGAACATTTTTATTAGCCACTTGCTATGTTGGTTGAGTTCAAATGATTTTGTAGGTATAACTAGTCTCCAAAGAGAAAACCATCCAATAAAAGCCCTATAAACTCTGCAAGCTCCCAGTAAATGGCAGAAAACAATCTACAAGAAAAAAGGTGAGTAAATGTTATGCCATTTCCACTCTATATTTTCAGATCATGATAATAATGCCTTACAAATGAAACTATAATTTGAAATAAGTAGCAGTTAAAATTTTTGCACTGCCTTTGAATTAAAAGTATTCTCTAATGAAGTAATTTTGAATGTTTAAAAATTTGTGTCTTTTCATATTGTTTTTTTCCTGTTTCTCTTTTACTCCCTTTAATTTCACAAGTTATTTGGTAAGCAAATGCCATGTTCCAAGTCATGAAAATATAATGGATGTAAATTAGAAATACAGGTCCTTTTCTCATAGAGTTTACAGAATAGGATAGAAGTTGGACAAAAAAAAAAAAATGCAATAGAGGCCTAGGAGGGTAACAGGAAAACAAAAGTCAATAAGTTAACCCATGGGTAGGAAGCCTTCACCCAGGTATGGGTGCTGGGAAGCCTCTTCAGGGAAGTGCTATTTCCTCTGGTGCCATTTTGCATACACTCATGCAAATGTATAACTGAGTCTAAAAAAAAAGTAGGATGGAAAGAAAACATTGATGGGAGATTACCCACAGCACAACCAGCATGTGTGAGACCCCAGGGAAGAGAGTGAACTTTCTCATATTGAACAGATCAGCATGCCTGTGGGTAGTCAAGAGATAAAGCTGCACAAATAAAGAAGTTCCTGCAGAGTCTTACGATGTTTTTGAAGGAGTTCAGATATTATCTTAGGAGCCATGCATAATGAAGGAGGTGATGTTAGTAGAGAATTAACGTAATCAATAGAAAGATATAGGCAGGAGGTCCCAAACAAAATTGGACCCAAGAAACCTAATAAGAAGGCTGTTGAAGTTAGCCAGGTGAAAGATATAGGTCTGAAACTAGGGCAGTGTCAAGGTAAATGGGCAGAAAGGAGCAGGCAAAGAGAAGTAGGTTCATGATCAGGTGAAGGAAAGAGATTATGACAACCATGAGGAAGATGATGCCACTGACGGAAGTCAGGAGCGGGGACCAAGTTGGTTTGGAACACATGACATTGGATGCCCCTGAGTTTCCTACATGTAGAAATATCCAACTAGTGATTAGGCACACTGTGTAAAGGGCAAGAGAGTAAATGAAATTATACAGAGAATGCACATAAAACAAGATAGGTTAAGAACAGAACCAGGAGAAAACCAACACGAAGCAGCTATAAGTTAGACCAAATAGTGAGCCAAAAGCTCAGTTTTACCTCAAAGTGTTAGTGGGAGTTTGCTCACTAATATCTTTCCCTGCAAAAGAATTCTAGTTCCAGCTGCTAACCAGTTATGGTTTCCCTCACAAGATCACACGCATTCATTTTCAGGCTACCATGTGCCAAGTTTTCCTTTGGGCACAGACAAGAAAGATTGAAAAGTATAAGTTAGCATCCCACTATGAAGTGGCTTAAATTGTTATTGGGGGCCACAAGATACCCATGAGCAAACAAGAAAAAGATTCCAAAGAGCTGCGTAAGCAAGTATGTGATTGAATGTTACAATCTTTGTGTGTAAGTGCCATGGCCCAATAAAGCCAGAAAATGGTCTTTTACACACTCTACAATCAAATCTCCCCTCCTGACCCTCCAGCTCTCTTTTATGCCCACTTTTCCCTTTCCGTAGAGTCACCCACAAGGGCCAGCAGTGGAGATTTCCTACCTGATTCAGAAACAACATTGTTTGTACTATGATTGTAAGTATGTGCACTAACCCTCGGAACCGCCCATGTGCTTCCTTGGCAGGTTCCGGAGCCTTACCACTGCGTTTTTCAGAGATGCCATGGGATTCTTGTTAATGTTTGACCTCACCAGTCAACAGAGCTTCTTAAATGTCAGAAACTGGATGAGTAAGTGGGACTGAGTAATGTGCACTGGCGTCTTTGGGACTCCACATCCCTGTTTGCTTGTTTGCCTTGCAGCCAGAATGAGCATGTGGATTAATTCCAGAAAGTCATGAGTCTGGTTTTTTCTGTGTCACCTTCAGAGTTGTAGCCTTTATATAGATCGCCCATGGTGACCTAGAGTTTTACTTTCCTTTGACAGTCTTCTTAAAGGAAGCCTATGTGGTTTTCTTACCACTTATATTTAAGGTCTTTATGACTGTAATTAAAAGACAATTAATTCTACTTGTCACAGAACATTGATGGGAGATTACCCACAGCACAACCAGCATGTGTGAGACCCCAGGGAAGAGAGTGAACTTTCTCATATTGAACAGATCAGCATGCCTGTGGGTAGTCAAGAGATAAAGCTGCACAAATAAAGAAGTTCCTGCAGAGTCTTACGATGTTTTTGAAGGAGTTCAGATATTATCTTAGGAGCCATGCATAATGAAGGAGGTGATGTTAGTAGAGAATTAACGTAATCAATAGAAAGATATAGGCAGGAGGTCCCAAACAAAATTGGACCCAAGAAACCTAATAAGAAGGCTGTTGAAGTTAGCCAGGTGAAAGATATAGGTCTGAAACTAGGGCAGTGTCAAGGTAAATGGGCAGAAAGGAGCAGGCAAAGAGAAGTAGGTTCATGATCAGGTGAAGGAAAGAGATTATGACAACCATGAGGAAGATGATGCCACTGACGGAAGTCAGGAGCGGGGACCAAGTTGGTTTGGAACACATGACATTGGATGCCCCTGAGTTTCCTACATGTAGAAATATCCAACTAGTGATTAGGCACACTGTGTAAAGCGCAAGAGAGTAAATGAAATTATACAGAGAATGCACATAAAACAAGATAGGTTAAGAACAGAACCAGGAGAAAACCAACACGAAGCAGCTATAAGTTAGACCAAATAGTGAGCCAAAAGCTCAGTTTTACCTCAAAGTGTTAGTGGGAGTTTGCTCACTAATATCTTTCCCTGCAAAAGAATTCTAGTTCCAGCTGCTAACCAGTTATGGTTTCCCTCACAAGATCACACGCATTCATTTTCAGGCTACCATGTGCCAAGTTTTCCTTTGGGCACAGACAAGAAAGATTGAAAAGTATAAGTTAGCATCCCACTATGAAGTGGCTTAAATTGTTATTGGGGGCCACAAGATACCCATGAACAAACAAGAAAAAGATTCCAAAGAGCTGCGTAAGCAAGTATGTGATTGAATGTTACAATCTTTGTGTGTAAGTGCCATGGCCCAATAAAGCCAGAAAATGGTCTTTTACACACTCTACAATCAAATCTCCCCTCCTGACCCTCCAGCTCTCTTTTATGCCCACTTTTCCCTTTCCGTAGAGTCACCCACAAGGGCCAGCAGTGGAGATTTCCTACCTGATTCAGAAACAACATTGTTTGTACTATGATTGTAAGTATGTGCACTAACCCTCGGAACCGCCCATGTGCTTCCTTGGCAGGTTCCGGAGCCTTACCACTGCGTTTTTCAGAGATGCCATGGGATTCTTGTTAATGTTTGACCTCACCAGTCAACAGAGCTTCTTAAATGTCAGAAACTGGATGAGTAAGTGGGACTGAGTAATGTGCACTGGCGTCTTTGGGACTCCACATCCCTGTTTGCTTGTTTGCCTTGCAGCCAGAATGAGCATGTGGATTAATTCCAGAAAGTCATGAGTCTGGTTTTTTCTGTGTCACCTTCAGAGTTGTAGCCTTTATATAGATCGCCCATGGTGACCTAGAGTTTTACTTTCCTTTGACAGTCTTCTTAAAGGAAGCCTATGTGGTTTTCTTACCACTTATATTTAAGGTCTTTATGACTGTAATTAAAAGACAATTAATTCTACTTGTCAGGTAAGTCTTGAACTATCACATTTATGACATCTAAGCTAGAGCATCTTCTGAGATGTGAGACTGCCACCTAAGATGTCCTCAAGAACAGAAGCCTATGTGGTTTTCTTACCACTTATATTTAAGGTCTTTATGACTGTAATTAAAAGACAATTAATTCTACTTGTCAGGTAAGTCTTGAACTATCACATTTATGACATCTAAGCTAGAGCATCTTCTGAGATGTGAGACTGCCACCTAAGATGTCCTCAAGAACAAGAGGGTTAATTAGGCTGAGAAAGACTCCAGAGCAGAACATCCTGAAAATGATAAAGGGAAAGTTTGTGTGTCTGGCAGCTCACGTTGGGATTTACTTTAAAAAGAAATTGTTCAAGGGCTGGGGGTTTGTCTCATTGGTTCTACTGCCTGCCTCACAAGTGCAAGGGCCCGAGTTTGATCCCCAGTACCAAAAAAAAAAAAATTGTTCAAATGTGAGGAAGTCTCAAGTAGAAAAATCTCCAACCTCCGGGCCACTTATATATAATATGAAAATTAAGTATTACCTAATTAGACAAAGTTAGATAGCTATAGATCAATATAGGAGAGAAGTGTCAGAAATTTCCTTTATTTGAGATAGCACTAAAGTATATTTCGTGATTTTGTAAATTACAAATAAGTATTTTTATCCTATTGGGATGTACACCAGCAGGAGATATCAATTGCCCTTGCACCACCATGGGGCTGGTGATACTCCTGTAATTTCCAAGTTTTTTCCAGCCTATAGGTGGCCAGAGTGATAATAATAATAATAATAGTAATAATAATAATATATGCTCAACACTCTTGTATGACTACGTATTTCACCTATAATAAAAGCCAGAGCCCTTCACCTACTTCTGGGACCACTGTAATCAAGCCCTGGTATTTCTTCCATCCACTCTTCCCGGGCCTCAGCCCATGGGCTTCTGTCCAATCTCTTAGCACACAAAACCCACTCCTGCCTTGGGTTCTCAGTATTTCCAGTTCCCTCTATCTTGATCTTTTTACATTGTTGATCAAAAATATATGGCAATTTCTATCAAATGAAAACCGTAGTGTATCCTCTTCCACCTTATTCACTAGATCTGGCACCACGTGACTTCTGGCTCTTTGCCAAAGTCAAAATGACCACGAGAGACAAACATTTTAAATAGATTCAGGATACTGAGGTAGCCTCAGCAGCACAACTGAAGATACTCAAATGCTTACCATATTTTGTGATCACCCCTTGTATCATGTATCATATATTTTTGAGTGTACTTGTTATTTTACTTTTCCCATGACTAGAATGCAAGCTGTATGAAAGGGCAGACTTTATCCATTATGATATTCTAGACCTTGGCAAATGTCTGATTACACAATACATATATATATATATATATGTATTATTACATACTATATAGAATTAATGCACTACATTAAAATATTAATAATTTATATGCATATAACTGCTTTCAAATTCAATCACAGTTGTAATGAATGGGGAAAAACGTCAACAAATTCTGATTTCCTTAATTGCTTCTCCAAATGAATGTTTACCTTAGGATCTGTCTTTATTTCCTTTTAATATTTTATTTCCTTTTCCAAATTTTGACGATATTAGATTTTGAGGTGACAGGGAGACGATAAGGTTATTAGATTCTTTCAGAGAATGGTTTGTTTGTCCTTCAAGGCAGATGAGACTCTCTCTTGCTTTAAGTCCCCAGAAAGATATTGATAGGATTTAAGGAAATTAACTGCCACATGCAATAGTTGAGTTTCTAACTCTCATATTTGATATTACAAGGTAAAGCTCTGTGTTCTTCCTCTTGTTTGTGACTTAGAACACACAAGTCGGCAGCTGTCTTTACTTTTCTCCCCTTTCTCCCTCCCTCTCTGCCTCTTTCCTTCCTCTTCTTCCAATTCTCCATTTCCTTCCTTCCATCTTCTCCTGTCTCTCCATCTCGTTGCCTGTCTCTGTCTCTCTCTGTCTCTGTCTCTCTCTCTCTCTCATACACACACACACACACAAGCACAAACCCAGTGTTTTTGTGGAGAACAGAGAAAAGCAAGACACTTGTCTTCAAATTTTTCTACATGAATTTTTGGTGATTTAATACAGCTCCATTGGATAAATCATCACTTTGGGTATCAAGAAGGAAATCTAGCAGCTTCTTATGTAGAACGAGAAAATTTATGCACTTTAAAATCATGTTTGATTATTTTCACTTCTATCTGAAGAACAAACGGTACGAAGTAGTATGTCAGGACATTTCCTCAGATGTTAGAGAGCATGGATAGATACAGTATTGACTCAGGTGCTCCATGTTTATTATTTTTTATCATCAAAATTCAAAAGTAGAGAGGTACTGCTTCCTTTTATAGATAAGGAGACTGAGTTAGGAGAGTAACTTGGCTGACTATTATCAGTAACCAATCAAACTGGAGATGAACAATTTGATGAAGAGTCTGCAGTAAGAGCAATCATTTGACATCACTTGTTTATAACTAACTTGCTGGTCCCATCTGCTTTCTTTCCAAGGCCAACTGCAAGCAAATGCTTACTGTGAAAATCCAGACATAGTATTAATTGGCAACAAGGCAGACCTGCCAGACCAGAGGGAAGTCAATGAACGACAAGCCCGAGAATTAGCTGAAAAATATGGGTAAGTCATTTGTACTAAGAACTACTTGACCGTATACCCCATTACTCACACATACAGCAGAAAACTAAGACTGACATTGGAAGGATTTCCCCATGATTCAAGAACAGTGTGTATATTAGAAAGGCCTTCCTGTGGAGTGTGTGATGTTTTGATGACTTAATAATAATAGCACTTAACATTTACTGGATCTCTTTTACATGCTAGTAACTATTCTTCTTTTAACTCATTTAATTCCTCATAACTACATGTAGGAGATGCTACAGTTATCTGATTTTAGAGATAAAGAATTGATTCGCAGAGAGATTAAGTATTTTATGGAAGGCCATGCAAATACAAGGAACAGAGCTGAAATTCTGTTCAGGCCACCTGAGATCATGCTCATGTTCTTAAACACTGTAGGTATGCTACTGCCTTATAACAGTTACCATCAGAATCCTAACATGGACAGGATAATGTTGCCCTTATCCTAGCTGAGCTTGAATGACAGCTAAAACAAATGGAAAAACAAATCCATGTAATCATAGATTGGCTTCCACACAAGAGTTGGTCATTAATTTAAAACAGTTTCATCATATCTGCCAATTTTTTACTAAAAGATTCTCACTTAGAGCTTTAAAATTTACATCTTTTTGGGACTCTTTATAAAAAACCTGCATTCATGTAAATATCTTAATCAATACATGCCTAACTCATAATGCATCAGATTTCTGATGATTGATTGAAATAGAAGTGGTATTTTAATAGTGGCATTGATTGCTAGTTCAGGCATTTTTCCTAGCCTTTGTTTTTAAAATAGTAATAATGCCTTGATTTCAACTCCTGACTACCTCCTGAAGCAGTTCCCTTGACCATATAGCTGGTTAGAATACTAAAGAGTAGCCCATCAGTTTTTCTCATTAAGAAAAATACAGGGATATTTCCAACTTATCCAACAGAAACATGATTTCACAATTTCCCTGCCACCCACAATTTTACATGTGCAATTCACCTATACATCTTGAATCTTTTCTGATTTCTTCTTTTTAAAAATACTTGTCATTAACATTTTGTGAGAAAATGTACTATTCACTTTCTTGGTATTTTTTCAACAATAAGTTTCAAAGGTCTACTGAATAGCATGATAACTGCATTTAATAGTCATAAATTGTATTCTTAAAACCTGTCAAGAAAGTCAATGTTAAAACAAAAATAACTATGTGAAGTAATTTATCTGTTAATTAGCTAGATTTTACTGTTCCACACAGTGTATATATACTTCAGAACATCATGTTATATATTATAAATATATATATGTACATATACAATTCTGTCAGTTTTAAATACATATATATCATTTTTCTATATTAGCATACCATATTTTGAGACAAGTGCAGCGACTGGACAGAATGTAGAGAAATCTGTGGAAACCCTTCTGGACTTAATAATGAAACGAATGGAACAGTGTGTGGAGAAGACACAGGTTCCCGATGGTGTCAATGGTGGAAGTTCTGGAAAACTAGATGGGGAGAAGCCGGCAGAGAGGAAATGTGCCTGCTAGACTCTACATAGGAGCTGATAATCAAGAAACCCCACCCAAATATTATTTCTGAAAACAGTGACAAACCACAAATTGTTGCTGAGTAGACCATGCACAACAGCGTGTTTTTCTTTTTCACCCAGAAAAATCTATTTTAAGAAACAAGAATAATCAAGTGTTCAAAAGAACTGACCAGTTATTCTTGAGTCCTTTCCCTCCCCGCCAAAATCAGATTTCCTAAGATGATCTAACCATCATGGATGTTCAAATATTTTTATAAAGAAGTATAATATATGAGTATATGTAAGAAATAAATATCAAAGAGATTTTAAAAAGAGATTCAAACATTACCTTGTCACATTGGCGAAAGGAATAGGCTACTTATGGACAAATGTAGAAAGATTTTTAAAGTTTGCATTTATTTATATAAAATGACTCATACATCCAAATTGCATTGGGGAAAACATATTGGCTAAAACTGGTTACGCAATGAAAAATCCTATGTGGTTCTTAAGAGGGATGTTACTATATGTACACAGTAAGTTGAACTGAATCATTTATAAGGTTATAAGTGGGTGAATGTCAGAATTCTGCTGAATTAGGAGATTATATAGTAATACAATTTTTATAGTCCTAAGTGGCAGACAGATGAGAACAGGACTGTGAATGAATGACAGTTAGTACAAGATAAATGCCTTGGAAGAAAAAACCAAAAATATAGGAATATGGCATTTGTACAACTGAAATTAAATGTATCTGTTATAGATGTCTGGAAGAGTTACTCAAATTTCACTCAAGCCACTTAGAAGCTGACATTATCAGTAGGGATTAAAAGGAAATCTAAAGGTTTCCATTTCCAACAACACTTTATTTTTTTTCAGAAAATGTGGTAAATAATAACAAAGACAGACAAGCCCCTGCTATATATATTAAATATCCCTTATTTAACCTAAAATTTAAAGATAAAATATACTGTTGATCTAAAACACAAGCAACTATTAATTATGGGTTTTCTTTCAGTTTACAAAAGCATTAGAAAGTCTAATTCACGTTTTTCCTTTCAACCTTCACCTACCCCTGACTTTGAATCATTTGCAAAAATTTTAAGTGTGCCGCTTTTTAGATCAACAATGTCAGAATAATGATAGATGGTCACTCTGAATTTTCATGTCATTAATCATATAAAAATTGATGATACCTCATTCTTTCTTACAGTATGTTGTTACTCTGTCTAAGGAAAAAATAATCTATAGCTGAACTGTGAGGGCTGGGCCTGGATGAAGCTGTATCTTATCTCACCAAAAATGTGGTTACTTGCTTTGTATATAAAGCTGCCTTTTCTTTCTAAAAATTATCACAAAGGTATTTTCTATTGACCATTTCTTATAATCATGTACACTAAAACTAATACATTAGCTTTTGATCTTAGTTTCTGATACAAGCCATTCCTGATATATAATTTATTTAGAAATATCAGTCAATTTAATCAATAATAAAGGCAATTACTTCATGTTTTTTTCTTTTTACTATGAGTATGATATTTGGCAGGACCATTCATTTTCCTAAAATTTTTTTCCTACTAAACCTAGTTTTTTCATACTCTGTATATTCATGTTGTCAAGTTATAGATATTAGTGACCCTAAAAATCCCAGTTCCCTCTTTAACCTGTCCCACAACTTCCATGTGCAATTGAATCAGTTTCAGAACCACAGAAAGATCCAAGATTATAACTATTTTTATTTTTAGGATGAACTGGACCCAGAAATGTGCCACAAAACAAAACAGTTTGCAAGGTTTTATGAGAGTGGTCCCCAGTGTAATTTTCAGTGTTAACCTGGGCAGTGTTAACTAAGCCTTTAGCACTGTGCCGGCTTCTAAGTTTGTTTGATTGTGATTTTCAGTGGTGTTTTCTCTAGAATGCTCTTTGTGATCTCATTGCCTGTGCCATGAAGATATAAAGTTATTAGCTAAATATTTAAGATATTTGTTCTAGAAGGAAGGAGAGAAAACCTTGTAATCATTGCTGTCACAAAATTTGGTGAATTTTTGTGATTGATTTGAGTTTCTTTGGGGGGGATTCAAATTGTGATACTCCTGCCTTTCCATAATAAGAATGCACTTTTATAAAAATGCTAAAGATATTCTTGTTGGATATGAATTTCATTTACTATTCACTTTCCAGTTATATGATTGATATAATGTGCCAAGATTCTGTCATTGTCAATTATCTAATGAGTATTTTTCAGGACCTATTTTAAGATTGTTATTTGATAGCTAGAGAAGGAAGCAGAGGGTGATGATGCCCATAATTATAGAACTATGCCTGTAAAAATAACAATTATTGGGTAATAATCTCAAGAGGAAGGAAATTTAAAACTGACAAGAAAATTAAAATGTTATCCTACTTTTAAGTAAATACTTGATCTAAAAATATTTTCCCTGTAAAATTTGACATGTAACCCTAAAATCAAAGTAGCCATTATTATAAAATCCTTCTTTCATTATTTCAAGGTCAATAATAGTTCTATAAAATTCATTTCCAATTTGAAATTTACCTGGTGCCACGAATACAGGCTGCTTTAAATAAGTCCACATTCTTTTTATCCCACAGTGGTACTTATTTTCATCCAAGACGTGTCCTGTTAGTGAATGTCTCCAAACGCTTTAGTAAACCACATCGTATTTTGAAGAAATGTTTAAAATGTACATGAAATATAGGAGTCTTGAGAGAGAACTCCTTTCTAGAGTGTTTACACTGGTTTGATGTTTACATCATCCTAGCTCAGTGCCTCAAATACTTCTGTGACCAAATTTGTCTTCAACCACAGCTCATCTCCTCTATTCTCTTTTTAGGAAGGCCTTACTGAGATACTAACACAGCTAAAGGTCTTCTGATATCTTCAGGAAAGGATGCAGTGACTTTATTGGAATTTGGAGATTGTTACCACCTTCTCTTGGTTTCCTAGTTTACTTCTCACAGAGTGGGAAGACATGAGACTGTTAACTGATTAGGTACAGGGCTATCTTTTAATGTAAAAACAGAAAGCCTTTTAAAAACATAACAAACGTAATCATGAGAACGTAATGTTTGTCTTGCTCTGATGATGGTAACAAGTCATGAATTAAAGAAAATATTGAGTGTTGGGAATTGAATTTATCTATTAAGAATTTTAAAACTCTTGTAAGTTACCACTGTAGCCAATTATCTTTCATTTCCATATTATCAGCTATCACACTGCAAACAGTTTGACAGCAGCATTTTCTAAAGTATTTTATCTGTTATACTTTACCAAATGGACCATTCTGTGTGTCTGTGTTGTGTTTCTAATATAGCTGTTTGCCACCCTGTACAGATTAGAAGAAATGGGCAAGAGTTTTTATCAGTGCTTTCATTTTCCCTTTATAAGAAATAGAAGCTTGACTATAAAGACATGAGTACATTAAAAACTAATGTAACAGGCACACTTTGAATTTACCTAAACTGCAAATTGAGTCTGTTGGTAATCAACAAATTTGATGAATCCTATATTGTCTTCACCACTATAACAAAAGTTAGAAGCACTATAGTGCACTGAACACAATGCATAGTATATAATATGCAATATTTGTATCTGTGAAATAAGATCATTCATTGTTCTAAATCTCTGTTCATTTTAAAACAGATGCATGTGCTTTCACTGATGTGTATCGTACCATAAATTCAAGGAAAACATCATCCATAAAGGATTTCAAATTGATATTATAACACTCAAAATATGAAAAATTATATTCTAATTTCTTGTTTCCTACTATATGTAATAACTTTAAGAGGGAATTTGAGAGCCGATGCTAGCCAAAGTGATAAAAGAGTTTGTCTTTTACCTTCTACTACCAAGCTTTGCAGTACTGTCTAGTATGTTTGCATATTTTAGGGAAAGATTTATCATTTCTAATGATGCTAAGATGCTATCTATATTTGAAAGGTTGTCTAACAATTTTCCACAGGTTATATTTTCTTCTTTGTCTTTGATCAAGTTGACACCGGCTCGTTTCTTGAGAGAGTGTTGCTCTCTTACAACATAAACATAGATATAGAATGTTACCTTATATGAATGTTTGTCTCAATGCTTTATAAATCTCTAAGGCTGCTTATCTCATAATGTAAAAATGATAAAATTATTGGATGCATTGAACATTTTATGAAATTATTGCCTTTTAATTCTTGGGTGAAGGCCTCTCCAAAATGACACAGCTGAGCAAAAACTGTGAAGAGAAATGAGTTTAAAGTGGGCTAAATTATACTCTTTAATACAGGAGAATATGAAGAAAGCTATCAGTTGATTTTTAGAAAAATAAACATTGGAGTGTTTACAACTAGATCCATGGAAAATACTCATTTTAATTTAACTAGAGGTTATGCCCTTAAAATTCAGCTAATAAAATATTCAAATATCAAATATTTCATTAGTGTCATCAAAATTCAGGATATTTAAAAACATTTAGTTTACTATCTATGAATCTAACAGCCTCATAAATTATACCTGGACTACATTTTTAGGGAATAACACCCTATATGTGCTTTTTTAGAGTTCTTTGTCCCAATAGTCCATGGTTAAGATACTTTTAAACTTCATGCATAGAGAAAAGCATTAACAAAAAATAAGCAAACAAAACCATCAGTACTAAAATAGTGGGACTAGAGACAATGTGAAAGGTATATAAAGGAATTTATCAAGTGACTTAAATTTGGTTTCCTGGTTCCTTTCTTTTCCAAAACATCTAGGAAGTCATAGCTAATATCTCGGAGCTGAGTTAATCTGTAAGGCTTATTAATACATTCTGTAAGAACCAGCATATCTGATCTTAACTAAATGGATCCCTTATTTCACCAGTGGCTACTGCCCTTATATTTGTTGGCACATTAAAATATTGTCTGTAATCTATATGCTTATCCTGATTTTTTCTGAGTGACTTTTCCCAAAATACTCTGAACGAAAGCCTAGTGTTGTAGAAAGAAAAAGTATCCTTGGGGACCATAGTATGTCATTTAATATCTTAGTGGCTTCTTATATGAATTTATAAAACCTGAGTGCCTCAAAGGGTCCACAGCAGGCTCAAGTGCGAATATATTAAAACTGTTTTATAAATTATATTCCATCTCATAAACAGACACTTACCACAAACTAAAACTGAGTTACAAAGTCATAATCTGTACCCCTTGTAAGAAAAATAGCAAGAACAACTAATTTCGATAGGTGCACTAGAAACTACAAATGGGCAGTCACCTTGAGGTCCCTGTATTTGACTGAAAATGTTGAATATATCTCAACATTGAAAAAAACATGAGCTGTCCTTCAACCTGTATGTTATCTTGTATTTCTTTCAAAGAAATCAAATCAGTTACAGATACTATATTATAACATGGTCAAAGCCTTCTGTACAAATAGGGCTTTTGTGTCTATAACCTTGTACAAGATTCTGATTGCATTTGAGATGAAGAAAAATAAATTATTCTGCTTGAATTAATGTGTTAAAAGTAGACAATATTCTATTAAAATAACACTGAAGTGCTTTACTGTAGCCTACTAGTTTTCCTTTGAGTAATATTATCCTCGTTTTTAACTAGGCATGTTTTGTCTGTCTTCTACACAGATCTCTGTTTCGTCCAATGCTTTGAATGTAACTTAAAACTTTGAACTTGGAGTTTTTATTTTGTATGCCCCTGAGTAGACTGTGGCTCCTGGCAAACACAGTTAGGTCATTATTTTGTTGTACCAAAGTTCTAGTGGCTTCAGAGATTCTAGCATCCAATGATTCTGTGGTGTGTGGGTTTGAATACCATGGTTGAGAAATG